GTGTGTGTGTGTTTGTGTGTGTGTGTGTGTGTGTGTGTGTGTGTGTGACTGGGTGTGAGGGGTGGAAGTATATAAACAAAGGAACATGTAGAAAAGTACAACAGACATAACAATAGTAGAAAACCGTAATAGTAATAGTAATAGTAATGACGACAATAGTAATGATGATAATAATAGCATTAATAACAAAAATCAGAGGAAGGAGGATGAGGAAGGTGATAAGTAATAATAGTAATAGCAATAATAATAATAACAAAAAAATATTAATAATAAAAAATAAATAAAAACAATTAAATTAATTAAGGGGGAGGTTGGAGGATCAGGAAGAGGACAAATAGTAATAATAATAATAATAACAATAATAATAAAGCTATAAATAGTGAGATATTTTAAGGCTGCCTCTGGGCCCTCCATGAGCACAGCATAAGTTGGGCCCCCCGCCCATGTCACCCTACAACGGGCCATCAAGGAGAGGTGTTGTGGGGCACAGGGCCCAAAGAAAAAATCTTTTTTATTTATGCATTTATTTCCATTTAATCGTCAACTATTTTTATTAGCTATTTTATCAATTAGTTGTTGCAGCTCAAAGATCTACACAAATCTGTCTTGATTGTTCATTCATACAAAAATGGCCAAGGAGACATACCAATTGTTCCTGGTTCTTCATCTGGTCAGCTGCTTGTTTGACCAGTGCTGCTCTGGCCTCCTCGGCTTCCAGTTTCTCTTTCTCCAGCCTCTCTGCCTCCTCCTTTGCTTTTCTCCGCTCCTGTTCAAGCTCTAGAGCTCTGCGTGTTTGCTCCTCCAGCTCTACACAAACACAGACACACATGGAGTATAACATGTATTGGTTATATTAATCAGAATGTAGCAGAAAGTAGCATTATTTTACTTCCTGATGTAGAAGTTGGAGAATTAAGGGAGGTGCCCTTGATTCTCTAACATCTACATCAGAACACTGATCAGGAAGGCAAATTCTATGAGGGCAACTTCAGCAGGCAACCACATGAGACATCGTAAATACTGGCATAATACTACAAAATGCCTGTGTAGCTGGAGATTGTTTTTCGATCCCTCAGATCTTTCCTATATGCCAAACACAGACAAATCAGGAACCCAAAAACTGCAACAAATATAGCAAATGGGAAACATGGGAACTCAGGAGGAGGATGCAAAAGGAAACAAATCTTTTTTTTAAGGGACTTCAAAGTGTTTTTACTGGTTTAAGAAAATTACCTTATTTTAAAATTACGAAAATTATCAGCCCTACGAGAGGCGAGAGATTTAGGTTTAGTTAGTGTAACACTCCACTAATGTGGAGAAAGTCATTTAGCCTCTGACATCACATATTTTTTATAGCTGCTTTTTTATAGCTGCATTTTTTTAAATTATTTTATAATGTTCTGAGGTTCACTTATAATGTTAGTGTGATTTTACATAAAAAACATCATAATTTAGAAGTAACACTATTTTCTATCCTGTTTTTGAGCCTCTCTGCAGAACGGTCTGTCTTTATAGGTGGGGTGCATTCAAGACTCGCAAGTAAACGCCCACTGCTATGATTGGCTAACG